ACTAAAAGCTCAATGTGGGTGTGTGTAACAATGAGATAATATACTCAAATCTAAACTCAATATAAAAACTAGCTTTAAAGAATGATAATCAAATAACTAAGCAAATGTAAAGCTAGATAAGAATTTAGAAAACTTCTCAATAGATCAAGAGGTGGAGGGAGAATAGTTGGAAGCTCAAACTTCAATAGATGATCTCCACAAGCTCTTGTGGAATTGATTCACAAAACCGAAACACTCAAATGCTTAAAAGCTTATAAACACACTTTAACCAAACATAAACCCTTGATTAAAACTTTGTTAAACCTCTTGGATTGCTATAAGAACTGACGTATAAGGGGGTATTTATATGAAACCCCAAAGCCAAGAGAAAACCAAGAAAAGATTAAAAAACCAACTCAGCAATGGCTCTGGAAACTAGCCGTTAGAACTGATATGACAGTGCGGCGGGCGACCGCAAAAGCAGAACTATGGCTCTGGACAAGTGACGGTCAACCGCGGCGGTCGACCGCGAAAGTCTCTGGACTTGCTATGGCGGTCGACCGTGGGCCAACAGTATTTTCGTTGTTTTACCTCTAGCTCTCCCGTCCGATCTTTGAATGAAGTAATCCAAAATACGTTGGAAAGCTAGAGAAGAGATCTACAACTCTCCTTAGGCAAAATGCACATAGAGTGTGCAAGATACGAGTGGCGCTTTGTTCTTTGTGGGTGAAACGTAACTCCCGGTCAAGTCGTTTCTATGTTATTTTGCCATCTCGTTGACTCGTATGCTTTACCAACTCACTTCTTGCGCTTGTTAGCTTTCCTATGGTATCAGATGATCCTCCTTAACTCGGATAAATGACGTTCATCATCTTTTCACTGTCTCGAGCTACGTTTGGAAACCTATAGGAGATTTTTGATGCCTACACCTATGAGTTATTTGTGCTGGTAGACTTCCTCCGAGTCTCCTCATTGAATAAACTACTAGTAACCATACTCATCGATAACACACTATCTAGAGCTGCGTTGCTGACTGTCACAACCAATGTCTCCCAACTGTCGGGCAAAGAACCCAATAGCAATAAAACCTGTAGCTCATCATCAATAGTCATCTTCATTGTAGCTAACTGATTAATCAAACTCTTGAACTCATTCAAGTACCCTGCTATGTTACTTCATTCTTAGAATTTTAAGTTCACCAACCGCCTCATAATAAATGCCTTGTTTCCCGTGATCTTCTGCTCATAGAGACATCACATTAGTCTCACCCGATACATGATGAAACAGACTAACGTTGATCCACATCCAAATATAACTGATTGCCTTCCTGTGTTGTTTCTCCTATTTTTTATCAGTCATTTTTTCTGGCTTGGCTTCATCTCCCTTAATAGGGTTATGTAAATCTTTACAATAAAGAATATCTTCCATCTGGACTTCCATACTTGCCAATTGGAACCATCCAATTTTATCATTGTGCCAAAACTCTCTATCTTGTCCATCCCAATGCACGCCTCGAACCAGGGCTCTGATACTACTTGTTAGGGATTTTATGGAGATTAATCTGCGGATTTAAGCACTAAACGAATAACGAAACCAATGAAAATACCACAAGTAAGCAAACACCAAGATTTAACGTGGTTCGGCAAATCGTGCTTACGTCTATAGGGTAATCCAGAGAGAAATATTTTACTATGAATCAAGAGTACAATCCCTCCAAGTTATACTTGAACTTGAGGATTAAATCACAAGAGAAATATACAGTGTTACCTCTAGGGAACCAAAACCTTAAAACCCGTCTCACCAAAAATCTCCAACACCCGTGGAGAAACCAACACCATACCCTCGATGGTGTTGTCGTTCTGAAGACAACGACTTTTGAATCACTACAATAGAATAACCGAGCTATCCGGAATCTCACTTTCTCTCTCTCCCCCCTCTTTTCTTTTCTCAGGTTACTGTTCACGGTTACTGTAGTGCCACAATTAGTTCCAGGGTTATCATAAATAGAATTCTTTAAATCTATTCCTATTATAAATAGATCATCTAAATTCTCATCTAAATAAAATTTTAATTCATGTAAATCTCATGTGGGCCTTATCTTGAGCTGGACCCACAACAAAATTTTGATGTGGGGTTTTTGTGCGAAGCTTTCAAATCCTTTGCCAATTGCGCCAAGCCATCGTTTTGTTTGCTTCTGATGGTACTTGGCCATTGGTAGTTCAAGCGGCACCTCATCATACTAAAAGATTAGATCATAATAAGATAATTCCCAGAGTTAGTTTTCTCCTAAGAACTATAACTTGAAGGACAAGAAAAGAAACGGAGAGGAAAGAGGTAAAGAAGGAGGAAGAAGTTAAAGAGCAGGAAGAAACTAGCTAAGCTTCTTTCAACCAAGGTATAACATTTTCCCTTTAGTTTTCCTTAGATTAATTGATAACTTAATGATATGTTGAAGCATGAATGATGGTCTGGAACTAGAAGGGATACCTGAGAATTAGGATTTAAAAATATGGAGAATAGTGGAAAAAACCTAGCTCCGGCGAGGACTTCACCGCCGGCCCGGCGAGCTCTCGCTAACTTTTTCTGGATAAACCCACAATTGAAAAGAGAGTTGTATTAGACTTGGGAGGAAATTAGTAAAGACCCCTGAAAATTTTAGAATCCTAAACAGACCCAAAGAGAGTGGTATATGGGTACTTTTGGACTTAAATAATTCTCCGCAGCCCCTATCTTACCATTATTTTGCTAAGAGGTCCACAAGTCAATAAAGAAGAGTTGTAGAATTATGATAAGATTGCTAAAGTTAGCAATAAACCTATGTGTACCCTATTTATGAGTCTTAATTATCATTTGATTATATGTGATTCTAATTGGCCATAGATTATAGAGCGATTAACCTATAATATGAATTATCTTGAACTAGTATTAAGCTTATATTTCTTTACTATAGGATCTGGTTGATATCAAGGTGATCATATTTTGAGACACTTCGGCGTATTATAAGGTGAGTTCATTTTTCACTAGTATTTTTATAATATGAAATTGCATGAGTGCTATATTTGATTAATTTTGATGCTCAAAAAATAAATAATCTATTATTTTTAATGTATATAAAGTTAAATGTTATTTGATCTATTTCTGTTGTGGCCTAACCCATAATATGATTTTGATTTCGTATAAGATATTAAAAGTAAATTTTATTTCACATAAAACGTGATAAGTAGTTTTGGTTTTATGCGATCTCATTTATTGTGAATAATGCTTTATTTGAAAGCTTTTGAAGAAAATAAGAAATTTGAATGTGTTTCAACAGTTTAATGGATTCAAAGATTTTCTGACTTAATTAGTATCTGATAAAAATAGAGAAAAGTGAAATTCATGAACTGTTTTAACAAGATCATGAGATTTACGCTCATCTGCTTGATTTAAAGTATTTACGATTTTGATAAGTGAATATACCAATATTATTTTGGCACTAGTTACGCATTTTTAAAATCAAGTAATTTTGACGATGGATGTGTTTTTGGAAACAAGCAATTTGATAAGTGATGTGCTTTGAAATCAAGTAATTTGACATATGATGTTTTTCCAAAATTAAGCCATTTGACAAGCGATTCTCGACGTCTTCAAAACCCTCAGATAGTTCACTATGGATTAATGTGTTTTTGCCTGCCATATGGTTTGAATGCACCTTTATGTGGCCCTTTTTGGTATTTGTAATGTGGCCCTTTTTGGGTGTTTGTGATGTGGCCGGCGGCCTATGGGCATTTGTGATGTGGCTGTCGGTCTATGGCAGAGTCAAGGGTATTCTGTTCCCAGAAACTATATGTTATATGATGTCTTTTGGCATTCCCATACTACTCGGCTATGATTTGTAGCCTTAGTGTGAACTATGAGGTGATTCTTGTATTACATAAAAAACTCATCGATATTTGACATTCTGACATTTGAATGTGAATTTAAGAAAATAGAAATCTTTTGGTTTTACACAAATTTAAAAGTCTGTTTTATTCCTTAGTATTTACATTGATTTAAAAAGAGTCTAATTCTGAAATATATTACAGTATATTAAGTTTGCACAGTAGAAAGAAATCTAAAATGTTGAATTCTTTCTTGAAGATAACAATAGAATGTTGCCTTGGACCATATTTTTCTAATTTTGAAATTTCTGATGGAAAGCTTATAATTCACTATTTCTAAAAATTATTATTATTTTCTTAGATATCTAGGAACTCTAGTTAGAGATAATTCTCATTGAACCCAAGCTCACCTCATTGTCTTTAAATTTTTCAGATCTAGTGTAGCTACGTAGTAAGCTGAACTTTTGGTTGTGGCGCATTGCTAAGAGGCATTTACATGGAAAAGCCTCTCCTTTGGTGTTATGTACAACTAACAATATGCTTTATTTTGTAAAATGCTTATAACGGTGTGAGTTTGAGTTGTACGTACTAATTATATATATAGTATGCTTTGAACTTCTATCATCAGCATGTTATATATATTTTGAGAAAGCTATATGATATGAAGTGTCAGGCTTTGACTCGTGCACGAGACTTGCCCTGTGCATGAGTCGCTGCTGTTACATAACCCGTATTTATGAATTTTGGCCGCAGTCTCGTGGCGTGACACCTATTGTCCTATTCAATAAAGGCCTATAAAGGTAGTGTTAATCCTATCATCCTATCAGGACCTCGGATAGTACGATGATGCATTCTGATTGGATTCATACTCCTAGTATGATGTTGCAACTCTTTGTGATTACTCTTGGATTAATGCCAAAGTCTTGGTGTAGCTGGAAAACTGTTGGAAGAAATTGAAAGGAAAAATAGGGGCTTAGGTTAACAGGATGGCTTGATACTTAAGGCAGGTCACATGATGGAGATAGGCTCAACAAAATAGAAAGGCTAGGGGCACAAGAGAGAAGGCTCTTAGAACACTAAAATGGCACTTGGTGAGACTACTAGTGGCCTACAAAATTGAACTTGCAATCAGCTAAAAGATGAGTATCAACCAACCAACACATCCCACACCATAATTCTATAACTCATCCTCCCTACCCCACCCTCCTTCTCCCTCTAATATTCCCCACTCTTTGCCGCACCAAACTTTGGCGGTAACCCTTCCTACATTGGGAAATCATTTATACTTGCTTACAAAGCCATCACCTCCCAATATAACCCCTCACACTTCATCTCTCTTCTCCATAAGATTATTTCAATCATACGAGCAATGAGAAACAGAATGGAGAGACTTCGTTCCTTCCCCTTCTCCGTCGGCTGCATTTCTCATCGCGGCGTCAATGTTGCCAACAATCAACCAAAGAAATATCGCATTGAATCGGATGCAACACGAACAAGTAAGCCAATTCACCGTCACTTTCTTGTTATAGGAGCTGTGAGAGCATTAAATCATAAACTTTAATTGCCATTAAAACGTCAGCAGTTTTGATGTAGTAGAAAAAAATTAGTTAGTATGATATTAGACCGATACATGTTCAAATCCCACCATATGGGCGTGCTAAAGTATAAAGTGATAACTTTCAACGCGCTGACTACAACTCTGGACTTCGATGCATATTCATCTAATAATTCTAAATTTTTTTCCTATATATGAAGGTGAAATTCAATCCAACTCAAGGATGAAGACCTCCTTTCTTCCTACTCCAAAGATGAACATATCTAAAGGGATTCAGCAAGTAATCAAGAGCTTCAAGAACTTATCAAACTTTTTCAAGTTCCACAAAGAGGAAGCTGATGACGACGACGAGTACATTGAGATGGAGATTGGATTCCCTACTGATGTTCAGCATGTAGCTCACATAGGATGGGATGGCATGAAGAGCTGTGATAAAAGCCATGACCTCCTCTCTCTACACACAATATCCATGAAGCAGTCTGAGCTTGCCATGGCTGCTCGAGCTGATGGTCCCCACTGAGAAATATTTGGCACAATAGTTCCATCCTGTCATTTTCTATGTGGGTTGCCTCGTGTTTTTGGTGAGGAGTGACATGTGAACTTGTATAGACTTTTTCTTGTGATGTAAGAATCTTCCTTGATTTCAATTGATAGACTCTTTTTGTCAACACATGAGACAGGTGCGCAAATTTTTACAATATAGATCTTCAACATTCAATTCTCATTAAAACTTTGAAGTTCGGTGTAATGGAGAAACGTTGATGATACAAGGGTTAAATGCTAGACTTAAATACCAAAAGTGTTTCGTGAAAGGCTCAAAATTGTAACCCTTGGGCCTCGTAAGAATTTTAAATTTTCGCTGCAACAATTAGTAGGGTAAGTTTTTCTTTTTGTCAACTTATTGGTCATTTGAGAGCATGTGATTCTCATGTGAGAAGTCAGATGTAGTTATCTTGATTTTTGAGGTTTGCTGAATAAACTTACTAGGTTAGATATTTTCAAAGTTTTAATGATTATGTAAAAAATGCCCAAACTTACTGGGGGTTTTCTGAAATATACCTTAAAAGTAATGTAAGTGGTAAAAGTTCTAATTTCATACTCATAAGGAGCAGCATGGATCTCATATGAATTGACAGGATACCGAACTCTAAAATTACCCTCTCTTGTGCTCATAGATTGTGAACAAATTGTAGTCTCTTATATGTACACCTCATTCCTTTGTCCTCGTCCTAGGATAAGAAAAGGACACATTTTAGATGCTTTCCCCCGCTAACTTTTATGTTCCTAACTTTGTCAGAATAAATCAGCTACTTGTTGGATTTATGGTTTAGTTTTTAATAGTTTGCTGTTTGGAAGCACTGTTGCGTTCTCCCCTAAGCAATCAGAGAAGCAACTTGGGTTAGGGGCTCTAATAGAAGTTTCCAAGCCAAAAATGGAACCAATCACCTTTTTTTCGAATTGATTTCATAAAAAGTTCGTTAATGACAAACATATTTTTGGAAGAAATTTTATGGAGAACTTTATTCCGAGCCCTGAAATGAGTTGCAAAAGTACTTAAAAAGTGACTTTATTCCTTCTTTTGGAACTACAAGGGTTGTGTGACGCCCCTAGGTTCACACAAGGCTGCAGTCCAAGGTGAAACCAAGAATGTCAAACCTGCCATGCACCACACCGTGCAATAACATGTTTCACCATCACAATTACTATCTCTCTAGTAGAGTCAAATAACAGGTGTAGTTACAAAAGCAAGTAAAAGATAATACAAGAGTCAACTGATGAAAAAATGGAGATCAAATTAATACTTCATCATCTAACATACTAAAGTACAAGTCAATGTTTGAAGTGAATAGACTGGAATTTCTCAACAAGTCTCTAATACAAATATCTGAATAAAAAGAAATAAGACACACAGCCTTTACAACTTCTAGAATAAACTCTCAAAATGTCTAAACAAAGCCTACTGTGGAGCTTAAAAGTAAAATATAACTGTAATAGAATAGCTGAAGCTAAAGTGCCTCGCCATCAACCTGCGACTCTCCGGGCTCCGGGCTCGTTACCTGAAAGGGGGAGGGACAACGAGCGTCAAAGCGCTAGCGAACAACATCACAACCAACCCCAAGGAAAAGGGCTCGTTGTATACAGAAAATACAGTTATAATATATATATAAAATCACAAATCCTATTTAGGTAATTACAACGTGAGCATAAGTACGTCGAGCGAAATAATCCAAACAAGGAAACCTTCATGTATATACCATGTAGCTCAGATTGTAAGTACCTGGGTATAAGAGGATTTTAGTATTTAGGAAGTTACAACACGAGCATAGATACGTCGAGCGAAATAATCCAAACAAGGAAACCCTCATGTATATACCATGTAGCTCAAATTGTAAATCCCTAAATACCAAACCCAAAATCTAATGCAAGAACAAATAACTTAAAAGAATACAAAACCCATCTCTACTTCCAAACATAATGTCATGTCGAACTCACATAGGTGTCATGTGAGAAAAACGATTAAGTGTCCAACACATAGACTATATAGATTAAATGTCCAATACATGGACTGCATGAAGTAAACGTCCAACACATGGACTGAAAGTAAAGAGTATCCAACACATGGACTGAATATAACCGATGTTCAACGCATGGACTGAATATAACCAATGTCCAACGCATGGACTAAATATAACCAATGTCCATCGCATGGACTAAATATAACCGATGTCCAACGCATGGACTGAATATAACCAGTGTCCAACACATGGACTAAATATAACCAATGTCCAACACATGGACCGAATGAAATGAATGTCCAACACGAGGACTGAAAGGTAATGTATGTCCAACACGGGGACTAAATATAAATTATGCAAAGTGTAAGTGTCGATGATACATATATACACAAAAGATACACATAGACTCATGTCATACGTGCCTCGGTGTGCGGATTGGTACTTGTGTCAAAAGTCAACTCACATGTACAGATAAAGATTATACATTAATTTCTATTACCCGTCATTCGAGGGGACTCCTCGTCCATATTTAAGCACGCAGCAATAATAAACAAACATAAACAATTTCAGTTAAACTGAAATAACTCAAATAGATTCAAAACTGAAGAAATATAAAAGAAGAAAACTCCTCATTAGTGGACTCATTGGTCGACTCATCAGTCGACTCATAAGTTGACCAGACAAAATACAAAACTGAAGTTTTCCCCATCAGCCGACTCATTTGTCGACTCATGAGCCGACTCATAGGTCGACTCATGAGTCGACTCATTGGTCGACTCATGAGTCGACTCATTGGTCGACTGAGCAGAAAATCTCCAGTTTTCTGCTTTCGATGATTATCTGCAAAAATGTTAACTAAAGTTCTCTTTATTCATATCCAGCAATATATATTCAATTCTAACACATGTATATCAACAGAAAAGAAAGATTTGCATGTATTATTTTACGTTAAAACCCTAAGCATATTTCTTCATGTTTAAAAACATGTTAAAAACATTAAATCACATGAAACCCATATTTAAGACTAATTCCAGATCTGGATCTATATTACAAAAACGTTGGTGAGCTTTTTACTAACTGAAAAATATAGATCTTGCAGCTTAGAATGTAAAGCATCTATTTTTATAAACAAAAATATGTTTTAGGCTTAAAAATGCGAAATAAAAACTCATAGAAACTATACAAACAATGGGTGAGGGCTGGGCGAGATGTTACTCGCCTCTGATATGATGCACAAACTCCTGGATTTGCCCAAGCACGATCTTCTCCGCTGCACTGCCCAAAATCCCGTGCAAACTCCTTCGAGAACTCCTCCAAAACGTCGAAAACCCAAACTAGGGTTTGAGAGGGAGAGATGGGGTCTAGGGTTTTGAGTTCTAAAGATGTTCTCGGGTAGGAGATATAATATATGAGCGGTCAGACACGATACAAAATCGACATACCCGCAAACAAAAAGAAAATCTGAATTCAGCCCGTCAGTCGACTCATAGGTCGACTCATTGGTCGACTAATAAGTCGACTGAGCAGACAAAAATCCAGTTTCGTGCATGTCTTGCTTATCTGCAATGACCCATGCACAAAACTCTACACATATACACTCATACATCTCTAATAGCTTGTTATCAAGAATATCCATGACTTCAATCTATTTATCACAATAAAAAAATTATTTATCACCAATAAATTCACATATCTTCATAACCAAAAATACGGGGTTTTACAGGTTGTTTGGTTCATTTTCCATAATTATAGGATTTTTTTTTTGTGAACCAAAATAGTTTTTGGTGAACTTTGTGCTTTTCTTGGAAATATGTTTAAATTGTTTGGTTCGACCTCAAATCATGGTTGGAAAATGATTACCGCGCGCTATAATATCTATTTTTCCCCTTGTAGATGGTTAAATAAATATGTCTACACAAAATACCATCAAACTCAGATAATTGGCAACTATATATAATTTGTAGCTATATTCTCACAAATGAATTTTACAACAAAAACTCCATGTTTCTCATCAATCTCCTTCACATCGCGTGACTCAACTACTCCATGTTTCTGAAACTTAAAGAATTGGTGTCCTCACTTTCAGTTTAGTAGCAAAGCCTTATAATCTTCTCCAACTTCTTGCCTAATCTATCTTTCAAAGCTCTTTCGTGTGTGGTTTTATAAAATTTTTAAGAGTGGTATTAGCAGTTACATATTTATCAAATAACAATTTTAGTGTTGGATTCCTAATCTATTTTGGTTTAGGATTCAATTGTTGGATTCCTAATCTATTTTGGTTTAGAATTCCTAATCTATTTTGGTAATAGGTTATTAGGATTCCTAATTTGATTTGGTTTTTGGTTTAGAATTCCTAGTATGTTTATGATTTTAGGATTTCTATATATATGAAACAATTGAAGGCGAGAATAGGAGAGAATTAGCATTGTTTTGAGCACTTTGAGAGGGAGATATTGTGAGGGAGTTGAGAGCTTTGGTTAGGGTTATATTTGAGTGATTTTGTGAGTTATAACCCATTGTATTTCTCCTCCATATAGTAAAATCTCACTATCCTCTCCCCGTGGACGTAGGCAATTTGCCGAACCACGTAAAAATTGGTTGTACTGCTTTTGTGTGATTTGTAATAGCTTTTTAGGATCCCTCGACAGGTCAGTCCTAGAACTGATGAGAGGAAGAGCCGATATCTCACTTTGTTGAGATATTCGCTTCAGATTCTTGTTCCCTTTGAGAAACAAAAATTCTTATTGCGACCTAACTCTTGTTGTGCTGCCGAAGTGCTGCCGAAATTTCCGCTGCGCGCAACATTTAGTTCTTCACTACTATGGGCTGTGGACTTACCTACTAAAAGTTGACCTGTGATATATGTTGGAACTAGAATTTCTTGAGCTATAAATAAATAATGATGCTAACCACTTGTTTGCTTATAGGTTATACTTTTGAAGTAGAGAATCTCACTCCTCCTTGAAATTAGGCCCCGCTTTACATATGTAAGTTAGTTTATTAAATTTTGTATGAAACTTAACATATGCCATACACGTTTCTATTATGTGCCACATGCATAGCTTATATGTTGATTAGGGAAATTAAAACCTTTGATATTACTGCACCAATAAT